TTTTATTTGTTTACAACCACGTTTACCGTGAAACGTGGTTAAAGTTTTTTCTTCCCCTTAGGAAATTTATCGCTTGATCCCGAAGGAAAAAAGACTCGAATAGTAAGATTTCTCCTTCGTTAAATACAATATCAGTATTGATTATGCAGCTATCAATGTTAGGCCCGGGGGGGGGGGGGGGGAGGACTACGGGATAGGGTGGGGACTATCCCTTGGGATAAGATATGTATTCGCAAACTAGGTGATCAAAACCCAGAGGGAACCCAACCCAAACTATTTCCCTATTGGTAGATATGGGAAAAGGTCTAGTGTAACCGGTCCCATTAAAAAGCGAACTTTTTACTGAGTGTCGTTCTTGTCACCGTACTAGACCAGCCTCCTCCTCAGGCGCTTCGTTTTTCGCATCGTAGAGGCGAGCGCGAAACGCGAGTGACTGGTGATGCACCGCAAGGGACATTTTCATCGAGAGCGAGACGTCTGGGTACGAGGCAGGTACTAGACTCTTCCGGAAGGCCCTTATACTATGGGAGAAATACGACACCGCAGCGAGAAGAAAGTCAAACAAGCTTTGGGTTAGAGCCAACAATGAATTAATTTCGCTTTTTGTAGCATAAATATCAAGATATTTGTAGCTTCACTTGTTTATAGCCAGAATGAGAAAAGCGAAAATTGATAATAATATCTGCCTAGCTGTCCTCGTTCACCCAATCATAGTGTAGGTTAACTTAATTACCAAGGCACATTTTGGCATTAAAGGAGGAAATGTATAATGATTTACTTAGCAAAGTCTTAGAAACAATTTAAGTTAACACTCACGTCACCAAATGTCATATTTCTCCCGGAAAAACCTGTCGGCCGATAAAAATATAATTAAATAAAATTTACTTATGCTTTGGTTTCTTGCGGGCGCAAAACTCGCGCTTAAATTCAAGAAGAAAGGAATTGGAATGAAGTACCACTGCAATGGCCGATGACTTAAATTCTCGTAGCCTTCTTTTAATCGTTGCGGAAGTCAGTTCACTTGCGATCTTAAATGTACTGTCCCTGATAGGGAATTCATTGGTTTGCATTTTAATTTACAAAGACTCACGACTCCGCACGACAACAAACCTTTACATCACTGCTCTGGCTGTGAGCGATTTGCTCTCCGCTATTTTTGTTATGCCCCTTGGAATTGGTGTGCTAATAACCAGTGACTGGATTTTCGGTGAGGTGATGTGTGAGCTTGAAGCCTTCTTTGTCTGCTTTGTTGCCTACGTTTCACCTGTAACTATGGGTTTAACAGCAATTAACAGATATTTTAGGATTTGCAAATCGGAGCAGCAATACAAGAAATTCTTCTCTCCTTGGAAGTCACGCACCTGGCTGGCTTGTGTCTGGATCGTCGTTGCCTTATACGCTGTGGTTCCAAAATTGGCAGGTCTTCAAAATTATGCCTTCGTTCCGGGATACGGCATATGCGCCCTTGCCTTTCCCAGCTACGCTGGAAAAATAATCAATTACTGTATTGTTCTTAGTCTTTTCCTTGCTATCCCATTAGCGATAACGATGTTCAGCTATACAAAAGTGGCACTTGTGATCCGACAACATAACTCAACCACGTCATCTACGACCCAGAATCGAGGAAACGCTCGCATCACTTCTCGTGAGATTAGACTCAGTAAATCTCTATTCTTCGTTGTCTTTGCTTTCATGATGTGCTGGGCTCCATTTTGGCTAATTATCATTTCGAAGCGCTTCCGTCTTGTCACGAAAATGCCTCGAAATGTTCAACTCCTTTGCCTATTTTTACTTTATCTGTCTAACACAATAAACCCATTCATCTACGCAGGCATGAACCCTGTATTCAGGAGAGAATTTCGCAAAATACTTTTCTGCCAACGAAGACGAAGGATTGGTGTTTCTACTAGTACTGGAGCTGGAGAAGCAAAAAACGAAGAATCGCAAAGCGTCAGTCTTCGCCAAAACGGTGAACAGATATCTACTGGTGATCATTGCACGCCCCAAGAAATGGGAGAACGCTTATCACGGTTATCATGCAGACAGGTCAAGGAAAAGGAGCTAGCAGCAAAAATATTGACAAAACTCTCGCTATTTCCGCCTTTTAGAACGATTTTATTTTAAGACCTTTACTCGCGATGACGTGTTAGATCGCCAAAGTCATGGAGGGGTTCACATTATCCAGAATTCTTCCTTCATTTCTTAAACATATGGATAGTAATCAGTTTGCAGTGGCTGGAAAATCAACTGACCAGGCTCAGCTCTGGTATACATTTTGCACTTAGCCCTCGAAGCCTTGGATAAGTGAAACTGTTCTCAACGGTTCTTTCTTGCGGATTTCCGTAAGGGAATTGATTTGATCGAGTAAAAAACTTCCTTTACAGAATTGAATTATTTAAGTTCAACCTACATTGCTGCTTGGTTAGATGGGTTGCCGGTTTTTTACAGGGCAGATCTCAAATCGAACCTTTCGTGAAGAAAAGCAGAAGGAACATATTAAGTCCGTTAATAAAACATAAAAAAAATAAATAAATAATACTAAACAAATAAATATACTGCCAATAAGTGCCAAAAGGGAAATTGCTTAGTTATAACGTAACACAGACCTCAACCGTTAACAATCATAGTTTTCTCCATAATTAGAGAAATTTGAATTTTCAATAAAATGCAAGATGACGGCCATTTAAATCACGGCGTCACCTGCTGGTGTCTAGCAGCCTAAGATAGGTTAGAGAGTGCAGGTCATCTATTATATGTTAAATCTTTTATCTTGCAACATAACACGGAAGGTTTTTCTCTAAATCTATGTAAAAGTGATAAAAACCGCATGTATGAAAAAAAAAAAAAATACACTGGTAGATAAGAAAGTAAAGGGTAGACAAATACTTTAAGGAAATAAATTAAATCAGATAAGAAATCAATTAACTTGAAATATAGAAATAAATGATATTCGATTAAAGAAATTCGCCTTAACTTAAAGAAACTCTTATAGCAAAAATAAGCAGCCCGTGATAGTATGCTAGTCCGCCTTGTAATGTAATCTTATGTTTTCAGAATGCGAAATTAATTGATTGCTAAAACAACAACATCAACAAACGGGAATAAGAGACCGAGTATTGTATTGCGATAAAAAAGCCAAATGAATCGAGGACGTCCTTTGACGTACACTGCAGTTGTCAAGAATTTCCGTCAATTATGTCAATTGTGTGGCAGTGTGAGAGCGAAAGCTAAAAATATAATAAAGACTTCAAACTTAGATCTCCACGTTGAAGTAAGCCAAAACCAACAAGGATGTCAATTTGAAAACTGAAAGCTGAAACGTTTTGCTGTTGATTTTGCGGATCGGAGGTCTCGGCCCTGATGCTTAGTACACGGTGAAAGGGAAATGACAGACCATATATGGCGTTCACGAGGAAAATTTATAGCGGAACTGAGAATTAATGTTTACTGAAACCCCTTATTAAGCTTTCTTAGTTTATTACTCAAGCATAATCACTCCCCCAGGCACCAAATCTATAAGTCTTTTCAGAAGAACTAAGCACCAATGGCGGACGATCTAAGCTCTCGAAGCCTAGCTTTGACCATCGTGGAAGCAAGCTCTTTGGTAATTTTAAACGTGTTGTCCCTTATAGGAAACTCTCTGGTTTGTAATCTGTTTTACAAAACCACGCGACTTCGAACAACAACGAATCTATACATCATCGCACTTGCTGTGAGTGACCTGCTGTCCGCCATTTTTGTTATGCCCTTCGGTGTTGGGGTGCTGATCTCAAGTGATTGGATCTTCGGTGAAACGATGTGTAAAATTGAAGCTTTCTTCATTTGTTTTGTTGCCTACGTCTCGCCCGCTACTATGGGTTTAACAGCAATAAACAGATACTTTAGGATTTGTAAAACAGAGCAGCAATACAGGAGGTACTTTTCACCGCGGAAGTCACGAACATGGTTGGCCTGTGTGTGGATCTTCGTTGCTTTTTACGCTGTGGTTCCAAAGTTGGTTGGTCTTCAAGATTATGCGTTCGTTCCGGGATATGGCATCTGCGCCCTCGCCTTTCTAAGCGAAACTGGCAAGATAATCAATTACTGCATTGTCCTGGGCCTATTATTTTTGGAACTCGGAAGTGGCCTATTAGATTGTGGTATTCAGTGTAACGTGGTGACCCCGTCATGTTTTAATAAGCCTTCTTCTAACGTATTGTTAACTGAAAGGAATCGACGTTATTGAAGTTCATTGGTTCGAGAGATGGCATCACTTGTGTCAGGAGCTTGTGTTGTGTACGGCCGTACCGCATCCATGGTTCTCAGACTTACCGTTAAAAATTAACTATAAAGAAAGACTTCTACAAGGCAAAATTGAGATTATTTGACTCTGTATCAACATAAATAAAAAGATTTTTTTCTCTGTTTATCGCAGAAACAATTATGTTTTGCATAAAATTATAGTGCAACGGCATTTTTGACAGAAATATTTTTTCCGGGGGCTACCCAACCAAGTCGGAAAATTGCGGAAATTCTAGGGGGGTAGGGCGATTACAAGTACCCCCTGGAACGGAAACTTCAGGGGAGTGGGGGTCTAAAACAAAAGTGTCTTCCGTGAAGGGGGTTTGGATATTTTTTGGAACAACACATTGAACCGGAATGATTATTATTTTTTAAAGGTTTTTTATGCGTCTTGCAAAACTTCTTCTTGTTAAAAGCTGCTATGATTATTTCTCGGACACATATAAAACTTTGGCTTTTTTTTAACGATGGTATATAATTCGGGTCTTTCGCACTTTTTTTTGCAATAACCAAACGTAAAAAAAGTAAAATTATATTCCGCCAAAAGCAGCTAACTGTTTGATAAATGTATAAGTTTCCCTTTCTATGGGTGTTTTGTCGAGACTGCTTGGCTCTTTAGGTGACCGCCTGGCTCAAAGACACACAAAACAATGTAAGCTACTCAAAAACACCTTAAAACAGTTTGCACGTTTTTTTTTACTCAAGTTTCCAAACGGTGATTCTTTCCTTAAGAAGTGGTGAGAATCATTGTTGAAAACCCCGACACTTTTGACAATTCTCCTTAATGAAGTCGGCGTCTTTGGTTTTAGTCACAAAAATAAATCGCTAAATAGCTAAATCGCCCTTGTGAAGCTCAATTAATGTGGAGGTTTTATAACAAGAGTAAAAATGGTCGAAACAGTTTACGACTTATGTCAGTCTTCAGTGTTTACAACCACGTTTACCGCGAAACCTGGTTTAAGTTTTTTCTTCCCCTTAGGCAATTTATCGCTTGATCCCGGAGGAAAAAAGACTCGAATAGTAAGAGTTCTCCTTCGTTAAATACAATATCATTATTGATTATGCAGCTATCAATGTTATGCCCGAGGGGGGGGGGGGGGGCTAAAGGATAGGGTGGGGGCTATCCCTTTGGATAAGATATGTATCCGCAAAATAGGGGATCAAAAACCAGAGAGAACCCAACCCAAAATATTTCCCCCTTGGGAGATATAGGAAAAAGGCTAGTGTGACCGGGCCCATTAAAAAGAGAACTTTTTACGTCGTTCTTGTCACCGTCC